TAAGCCCATAGGGTTAACTTTTTTTTTTTAACCACAGGGGTTCAATTTATTTAATTAATTAATTTAAATATTTTAAAATTATATATTTTGCTAGCTGGGGTGGGTGGAAGTTATGGGAAATTGGGGAATTTACGGTTAGTGCTGCTTACTGCTAGTTAGGGATTAACGGTAAAAAAAGTTAAATCTGTAAAAAAAAAGTTTTAAGAAAGTTTAGGAAAGTTTAAAAAAATTTATACGCAAAAAAAAGGTTTAAAAACTAGTTGTAAAAAGTAAAAAAAGTTTACAAAAAGTAAAAAAAAAAATTGAAAAATGCTCATTACCACTTCACCTGGAGAAAAAAATTATTCCACGCTAAGGTTCAAAAATGCGTTTTGAATTACCCCAGGGTGTATTCTTTAATAAATAGTATGTGTTTGTGGAGAAGTTTCAATAACCAAACAGCTAAACTACTCCAAAATGGAACATGGACACAGCGTAAAACTTCAAAGTTAGAAAAAACTAAATGGCTATGTCTCAAATGTGCCCCTTCAACATCCACATATACCTGGCAAAGATACCTTGAGATGTCTTCTTAAAGAAATGGTGTGCCTTTATGGGGTATTTGGATTATGTAGCCTGTTAAAATACTTTAAAATGGGACATGGTGGGGACGGGGCCTGACACTCAACATTGCAGGACACACTTTCAGAGAGCTCTGGCCCTTCAGGCCTGCAAATCGGGGCAATTTCGCTTAAAAAGAACGCAGACAGTTTCCTGACATAGCTGCAGACCATCACTGTGACCGATGGTACCGTCCTATGCCCGTGAAGTCACGGTGTGATGAGCATTTACCTTGGTTGAGAATTGTGGCCAAGCGTGCCCGGCAAGTGGGTGAAGCAGCCGATCGCCCAACCCGGAGAGCACACCTGGCAGAAGCCCCACCGCAACCCCGTTACCCCCTCCAACCCCTTTGGACCGGTGGGAGTTATCCCGGTCCCCACCCGGTGGGCTGACTCGCGTACGACCAAGGGGTCAAACTGCAAACACAGGCCTGCCGAACCGCGGCCTCTTTAATATGGCGGAGGACGCATGGATCCCACACTCCATCAACATACTTACTAGGCTAGACAGACACTTCCAAAAGTTCTGGCAGCAACTAGTGATGTCGCGAACCCGAAATTTTCGGTTCGCGAACGGCGAACGCGAACTTCCGCAAATGTTCGCGAACCGGTGAACCGCCCGAAACGCCATTGACTTCAATGGGGAGGCGAATTTTAAAACACACAGGGACTCTTTCTGGCCACAATAGGGATGGAAAAGTTGTTTCAAGGGGACTAACACCTGGACTGTGGCATGCCGGAGGGGATCCATGGCAAAACTCCCATGGAAAATTACACAGTTGATGCAGAGTCTGGTTTTAATCCATAAAGGGCAGAAATCACCTAACATTCCTAAGTCACACTGAATATGGATTGACACCTGACATATGACATATTGACACCTTGACATATGGATTGACACCTGTCCTCAGAGCCCATGATGCACACGGACACAGAGCAGAATAGGGACTGGTCCCCCTACATCGGGTCACTTGGCAGATATGGATTGACACCTTGTTACAAACTGCTATTTGTAACGGGCCCTTTAAATTGCAAATTGCCCTGCTTCCCTGGGTTGCGGAGAAGCCTATTTGCCAGCCTCCTCCCGCATGACTATGGCCCCTGGGAGATTGTGAAAATGTATGCACTTTTATTTGGTGTGTATGGCCCTTTAAGACTGTCGGTGGGCATATTGGGGCTTATGGACTCTTTATGTGACTGGTGCTGGCCCTTTAAACACCTTTTTTGGGACATCAGGAAGATTGGGACACTGCCCCTTTAAGGCCGTGTCCCCAGACTTGTTGGGGACACAGCCCCTTTAAGACGGTGTCCCCTGTGTCCCCAGACCTGGTTTTTTTTCAGCCTTATTTCAGCTGCAGAGACTAAGTCCCATTCGCGATAGGACTTAGTCGTTTTTTCAGCCTGAAATAGACCGACCTCACAGCCCAAATCTATGGAACTGTTTTGGGCAGGAAAATGTGCTTGCGGTCGGTCATAAAGGGACCTCCAGCTAACTTTTTAACCCCTGGATGGATTTGGCTGATTTTTGGTTATGTTTATGTTTTAAGTGTGCTGATTCCAAATATGTAATTATGAAGATGGGATGTATAGTTTTAAAGTTACAGTGTATGGCTAAAAACTGTATTTTTACTGCCTGTGTTTAATTATGTTAATCTCTTCCCAAACGTCATTTCGTTCAAAGTGGAGAGAATGTTAAAAATATATTTTTGTTCGGAGTGTGAGAAATGCTTTTCAGCCGCTTCTAATCTTAAGCATCATTTGAGGAGCCATACAGGAGAGAAACCTTATTAGTGGTGTGTTTAGTATTGTTCTGATCAGTTTAATACCTTCCGCGTCTCCTATCAGTGGACGTGTATATGGCAGCCATTTAGGAACCGTACACCTGGGACCCGAGCAAGGTCACCTCGTTCAACAGGC